CAGGACCTAAAAAACGCGCGTATGCAACTTCCTGCACTTTGAAGAAACCCCTTGAGGGTAGCAAGAAAATACTCTCAGAAAACTCCAATGAAACTCCTAGGTGGATGTGAAGGAATACTCCCATATATCCACCTAGGAACACCTTGATGGAAGAAAATAAGTACTCCCATTAATCCATATAAAAACTCCCGTACTGAAGGGAGTTCTGTACTTACTCCCTTGCATCCCCCCTTTTTTTCTCTAAAAAAAAAAAAAAAAAAAAAATCAGGCTTGCATGGGAGTAAACTCTGAACTCCTTTCCGGCGGAGTTTATAAAGCTCCTATATGGGAGTGCGCTAGAGGACAAGCGATTCACTCCCATCTGGGCACATTGTGGCTTAGTGTGTAGGGGAAGGACCAATATTAAAATAAATGGAGGAATATCTAAGAAATTGTCTCCAGTTTGTTTGTTATGAAGGGCACTTTTCGCAAACAGCTGCAGTGAAGTTCCGAGTTCCATAAGGTTCTGTTTTAGCTCCGCCTTTATTTCTTCTGTTAATAAACGACATTACAGACGGCGCCGGTGCATACATAAAATTATTCGCAGACGACTGCGTTATTTATCGTGATATTTCATGCCAAGATGACCGACTGGCTGGTGCAGTGACTGACGAATGATTCTAAACACTGAAGAGAAAAAAAGTTTTATTGTGCCTGACTAAAAAAAAAAAAATGTTCTAGATTATTCTTACAATCTCAATGGCATAAACTTAGTTAATGAATACAAGTATCTAGGTGTCGTGATAACGTGAGATCTCAACTGGAACGCGCATATAAAATATGTAACATGTAAAGCTCTTATAATTTTTTTTTAAAAAAAGAACGTTAAAACGCGTAAGTCATGAAACCAAACTGTTCGCATGTACTGCACTGGTGCGCCCGGTCTAATAGGCCATCATAGCCTTGTTCCATCATAAACAAATCAATAGCAATATCCTTAAAAATGTTCACAGGAAAGCAATAAGATTTGTTTATCACAAATATGGACGGTTATTTTATCCCCCCACTCGGCTGCTGAAAGGATCTGTTGTTTTGACCATTGCTGATCGCGCAAAATTAGAACTACTTAAATTCTTGGATCTCCTTTTATGCGACGCTTTCAAATTAGACAAAAACAAGTATGTGAACTTTTCTCAAACAAGAACCAGAGACAAACAGAGCAGTATACACTTATCCAATATTCATTTAATGATAATGCTTTCAAGCACTCTTTTTTCCCTTTTACCATAGGAGATTGGAATAGCCTCGACAGAACATTTCTTTAGCTTTAGAACAGTCTCTGCTACTTAGTCAATTTATGAGTTGACGTGTTTCTTTGAATAGTTAGGAAAGTGACAATTTTGACTATTATACTCTTCGCGCGCATCTCAAAGCCACGTTTTTATGTACCTTTGCCTGATATAATCTCCCAAAGAAATTGACGACATATATATTAAAAAAAAAAGAGTAAAACTTGAACGCTTTATTGCGTAGACGTGGACGACTCACCTCTAGGGAGGTAAGTTTTAGATGCAACTTTGACCTAAAGTAAACTGTAAGGGCGAGATTTGTAACTCCAAACAAATGGAGTTCGCCATATCCGCTTTGTTTCTGCGGCTGAGGAATTTAGGAGTGTAGCAAGTGTCTTTTGAGTGTTCTCAACTATACGTCAAGTTTGATTTAAAATTCGAAATTATATCGAAGTTATATCACGCACACTCAGCGAAGGGGGAAAAAAAGAAGAAGTAATTTTGACTTTTTTTTTTTTTAAATATTATGCATGAGAGTGAACGAAAACGACCAATCGAATAATTAATGGGTTAAAGGGTGGTGATTAATCGGATTAAACATTTTAATCGACGCCAAGTTCTATAGTTCAAATTACTGACTTGTTTTTACTTTTTATATGTGCACAGATGCGTGGCACACTCACTCGAACTGCTCTATCGTTTTTAACGTTAACCTTTCTCGAAAAAAAGAAGAAGAAAAAAAAAAAAGAAAGGAATTTAGTGAGCTCATTTGTAAAACATAATGTGGAAAACAGCTCCGAAAACGCAGACGACGAAAAAGAACACACGACAAGGCAATGCTGTTAGTAAAAATATTCTGACTAACTAGTTTTTTTTTTCTTTTTACACGACAGGACAAAGTATTAGTAAAACTGTCTTGAATAATTAGTTTTTTTTTGTTTGTTTTTTCGTGCTTAGAAAATGTATATGTTTCGAGGTAGGGGGAGGCAATACTCGGATTACTAAGCTCGTGGCTGACTGAAATCCTATTAGCTGCTTGAGGGAGTATAAATAAGGATTCTTTGTCTTTGCTCTCTGGCTTTGGCTTGATGCTCAATCAGCGCATTGTACTTTCGCAGTGTGACGCGAGGGCCAAATTATTCCAACTCGCTTTACATATATCGGGAGAAAAAAATATAGTTTTGCATTAGACAATGCGATTTACCAGGTATGTATCGAGGTGGTACCATGTGTGTGTAAAAAAATATGAAAAGAAAAGCTGGGCTCAATAAAAAAAAAAAAAGTTAAGAATAAAAGTAAGAGTAAAACATTCCTAACGACTAAATACGATTAAGTTTTTTTTTTTTTTCATGTCGAAGTTAAATATAAAACAAATCATCCGCAGCTTTCCGACTCGCTGTTCGTAGAAGCGACACCGATAGCCGTTATTGCGCGTAGAGAAACACACTTTTTACGCAAAATCATTTTTATTTACTCAATCACGCACAACTAGGGTGGAGAATAAAGATCAAGGTGATTTGTACACTAATTTATATCGTGATATAAATCGGGCCAGTTTACTATAACAATAAAAATATTCCCCCAAAACAATTAAGAAAAAAAGCTTTTATTTAACGTTTGAGTATCATTTGAGGCTTCCTGAGAAAATTGGATTATTGAGTACTCTTTCAACTTTCTATACTTCGTTCGTCATTCGTTTGTCAGTTACGTCATTGCAAGCAAATCAGAACGCGAATGAAAGTAACAAAAACTAGAAAAAAGTAGTGTCTTCATGCAACCCAATCAGACCGCAAAAAAAAAAAAAAAAAAAAAAAGTTTTTTTTTTTTTTTTTGAGGTAGGGGGTTACAGAAATAAGAAGTAATTCATTAGACTACTTTAAATGTACAAGAATTCTTTCTTCTGCATTGCTATCGGTGATCTAATGGATTAATGAATCAATATGTCATGTTTGAAAATACAGCTTAGGATTATTTCTTGACACTTATAACCTGACACGCGCGTTGCTTTTTTTTTTTTTTCCGCTACGCAGTGGCAGTCGCAGACAAAAGTCAGAGAGGAACGAACACAGTTTATTCCCTCGGTTCGCAGCCAGAAGAGGCAGTCACGTGATCGGAAACCAATTATCTGCCGCTAATGTTTTTTTTTCTTTTTTTTTTTTAACATAGCCACGCGTTGGTGTAGGGCACGAACCACCACCCGAATCCATGCGAAGGCATTAATTGTCACGAGCCAAGATCGAATGCCTATGCAGTCTTCGTGTTCACTGATTGAGCAGCATTTAAATATCGTCGCAGCGGGGATTGCAAAGCTTGATGACGCACTCCTGAGGATCGCATTGTAGGCGTTGTTCCCACAGCTACGTCATCAAATTTTACAACCCCCCCCCCCCCCCCCAAAAAAAAAAAAAAAAAGAAAGCTCGTTTTTTGTTTTAATTTTTTTGCGACGAAGACGCTTCTTGGTCAATGGCGTGGCGTTCGAGTATTCTTGGGCCCCCCAAGTGCCCGTAAGCTGGTGAAAAATGAGAAACAATATTTTTTTTACTTCGGATTCACAACATAGCTTTGTGGTCTCTAAAGTACGCCGGAAAGGAAACACTGCACACACTGCTACACCAGTGCTGCCACCTCTCGACGGGGGAGGGGGGGATTGAACATTACTGTTCGTAACATAATGTGCAAATGAGCTGGTGGTACATGGCGCTCCGTGTGTTCATTCCTACCTCTTTGTCCCCTTTTCTTTTTTCTCTTAATTTCTCCATTTTATTCATTGCGCTTTTACGTAGTATTTTGATTGCACATGGTCAAGTGAATTCAAGACGTTCCGGGGTTTTCTGTCTAGTCAGCGTGCCTAGCTTAACGCCGACGCCGCTAACGCCGCGAGTTGAGCAACGTTGTCTTGAATTTCCCACAACAGCTATCGCTGCCAAATATTTTGCTGGGACATTGGAGAATTTGACTGAACAAAGGAGGAAACGGGAGCAAAGTCCGAAATATTATCTCCTTTCCATAAAAAAGGCTAGAAATTTTTTCTTGATCCGCAGGCAAATTTTCGTTTCCATCTGCAACGCCTGATCGACGCAAGAGATTCTTTCGATATTTTCACAAAACGTGGTAAATTAGAGAGCTGTTTTATGGGTTCATTGACTTCAATGCACTTGGCCCCCATACTGTGGCGTCTAGACAGGAGCTACCCAGCGTCTTCTTTCTTTGCAATGCTGCTGAACCCTTAAACTTGGCATTGGAGCGAATAACGTCTTCCAAGGAGCTCCCCATCCACTCGTACTTTACGCCTTGGCATTGTCTTTTGTGGCCAAGACAATGGACGGAAGCTCCGGTGATCCGTTTCTCTTCGTGTATTACGTGACATGAAAGCAAAATATAGAAAAAGAAAAGAATATAAAAAGAGGACTCGGAAAAAGGAAATAAAAAACAAAAACTCCGCGACTGCAAGGGCATACACACGCACAGTAACAGACGCTTCTTTCTTAGTTTCGGTTTAGCACATACTGACTTTTTCACGGAGGTAAACTTTTTAGAGAGATTTTATGTTGTTATTTGGTTACTATTGTATGCTCAGGAATACTCGAGGGCACTAAGAATGTGATTGCAAATCTCAAACATGGAGCCGGTGCGCCTATCCTTGAAACACTGGGTACCGCCGGCCACCGGAGATATTGCGCGTGGGGTGCGACCAAGGCGCTCCCGACGGCGCGCCTCGCAACTACAATCCGTCGTCTGCGCCGACCGCTCTCTCGTTCTCGCGAGAAGCAGCGCGGCGGCTGCCAAGATGGCTGCGGCGTCAGCGTCGTCGTCTTGTGGCTCCGGAGTCGCGATCATGCCTTGAAACGGAGCCCGACCGAGGAGGGGTCCGCCGCACTCGGACCCGTGGCCGAGACGCCCAGCACGCCTCCGATGCAAGCCAAAAAGCGATACCTGCTTCTCTTGCTCGCTGCCGGTGTCTCGGTCGCCCTAGTCCTGCTCTGCCGCCACCAGCGCGGCGGCGTGAACTCCGATGGCGGCAGAGCTCGGAGCTACGACCGCAGCTCGCTGGGACCCTACGCGGACCCGGCCGTCCTGGACAGCGAAGACCTGTGCGCGTCACGGAGGCGACTGCGGGCCGAGCGGCGCGCGGGGCCGGACCCACGCCGGTGCCGCATGCACTCGTGTTTCGACTTCTCGCGCTGCCGCGGCAAGGACTTCAAGGTGTACGTCTACCCGCCGTCGGACTCGGTGCCGCCGCCGTCGCCCGTCTACCAGCGGGTCCTCCGGTCGATCCGGGAGTCCCGCTTCGCGACGGCGGACCCGGCCGAGGCGTGCGTGTTCGTGCCGGCCGTAGACACACTGGATCGCGACCCGCTCAGTCCGGACTACGTGAAAGGCGTGAATCTTGCCGAGTCGCCGCTTTGGAACGGCGGGAGGAACCACCTAATCTTCAACCTGTTCTCGGGCACCTGGCCGGACTACAGCGAGGACCTCGGGCTCGACGTGGGGCTCGCGATGCTCGCAAAAAGCAGCCTGCCCGAGGTCGCGTTCCGACCCGGGTTCGATGTCGCGCTGCCGCTCTTTCCCAGGTCTCATCCCGAGCGAGGCGGCAAACCCGCCGTGCAAGGGTCCGGACCTCGAGACAAGGCCTATCTTCTCGTGTTCAAAGGGAAGCGTTATGTGTACGGCATCGGGTCCGACACCCGCAACGCTTTGCACCACCTCAACAACGGCCGCGATGTGCTCTTGCTGACAACTTGCCGGCACGGCAAGCAGTGGATGGAGCGGCGAGACGAACGTTGCGACGCCGACAACAAGCTCTACGACCGGTGAGCGGTATTCTTTTTCCTTCTTCACACCCTTTGCAACACCCACACGCAGAGTTCGGCGTGCCATGCGACTTGAACTACTCTACGATCGTCTTTCGTTGGTTTTGCTTTTTATTCTTCTCGCTTGTTATCGGTGGTTATCGGAGATCAAACGAGCCGTAGCAGCCGCGTAACGTCACGCAGTGACGAAGAAGAAAAAAAATTAAATAAAAAGAACTGTCGCGAGTGGTGTAACTGCATCATTCCGGGCGTCGGTTTTGAGAACGTTGGCTTTCGCCACAACGCACCCGTGTTTGGACGATGCATCACGCCCACTCGTATCACGACGAAGCGTCGAAAAAAGAATAGCGCGGGTTTTGCATCGCTTTCCCCACGTGTCAGTGACCGAGTTTAACTAGCTGCGAGTGCCCCGCCCTTATACTGTGTGCAATAAATGCACGAATGAGGAAAGAAACCCATCAAACGTGCACGCCTCCTTGTCTAAGCTAACGGCTCCGGCGATAAGGATCCCCCCCCCCCCCCCCCCCCCCTTTTTTTTTTTTTTTTTCGGATCAGAGAGATTGATTTGGAAGGTGCGGTTAAAGTTTGAGAGCAGAGTTTTGTCGCAACTACAACAAAAAAAAAAAAAAAAAAAGGAATAAAAAAAAAATCAGCACGTTGGACAGTATGTGTTGCTCAAATGAAGATCGGGTGTGTTTACTGTGTGCAGCAAATTTCAGCTTCGCTGATTGCTGCTAGTCATACGAGTTGCAGACGACGTAAATTATCTTCCATCGGCAGTGCTGACCGTAGCAGAAATGAATTTCTTCTTTCCTTCTGGACTTCTCGTGAACTGCGACGCGATAGCGAGGCTTCTCGAGATAAAAAGAGAGAGAAGTAACACATCCTCCTTCTCAGATTTGGTTTCGAGTGGATATAAGGCGTCTTCAGAGATCGGTTTTATTATTTTTAGCTTTTTATACTGAACACAATTTCAGAATACCCAGGCTTTGCTCCTTCCGGCGTGCTATTTATTATTTCTAAATTCAAAATTGCTATTGTTGAAACTGGAAATGAAGGTTTTTGCCAAAACTAACATTCAAATTTTCCCACGTCCTCCAGTGGGGTGACGACACATGTCGCATGACTCCAACTTGCAAGTCGCGCAGTATTTAGCAATTTCTTTATTTCCTTTTTTTTTTTTTTTTGTGGCTGGCGCGAGTTTTTTTAGCATTTGACACTATCAAACTTATTGTAACCATATTTCACCATTTGATGTCACGTTTCCAATGTTGTCAATGGTGCCCCTCAACCTCTGTTACCAAATTTAAAAATGCAAAAACTTCGTTAAAAAAGAAAAAAAAAAAAGAAATTGCGATTTGTAATTTGAAAGTTTTCTAGGTGAATTGTACTTAGAGCACTAGTTTATGTTGGTTTAGAAAACTTGTACTTTACTTGAAGTACATTCTCTGAGTGGATGCACTTGTACTTGATTCTTTTTCTTTGGGTACTTTCCGAGGAAAGTACGACTCCCGACTTTAAAATACATTCCCCAAATTGCATCTTGTTAAATTTGTATTACAAAATGACGCTTTGCCACCTCTGAAGAAATACTGGGAAGAAATACCTCACCAAGAAGCGCGAGTACTAGACGACGCACCGCTCAACTGGTTATTTCTGTGATTGAAGTACAGATAGGGGCATTATAAGTTGACTGTGTTAAATAATTTGTCAGCGGGAGCAAAACACATACTCTGTGGCAACTTGACTTTATCCAACATTCGCCGCCATTTCCGAAAATAACTGATGCACCCCCGATTATCCCTAAACCATAGCATGCCAGTTAAATAATAATACTAATAATAATTGGGGGAATAAAAGGGTATCATAAAAGATCCTCATTCACTTTGTTCTTTACTTCGAAAGTACATTTGTGGTTATAGTGCTTTACTTCAAGTACATTGCTTCCGGTATACTTATTACTTTACTAAGTACATATAGTCTCTCATTTACTTTGTACTTCAAGTAGTTCAGATGTGTCTATTAATGTGTTGAACCAATTTTGAGGAAAATCAGTGACTATTAAAAGTTGCCCTTCAGTAACAAAAGAAAAGAAAGAAAAAAATTGCGGCTACTGGGACCTTGACCGTGTGGTACACTTCTGTCTAAGCGAGTCGAACGCGACCATTTCCGGAGGCCACCAATTATCCCATTGCTCGTTAAGGGTAGCTAACGAGCTTAGGAAATATAAAAGAAGATCATCGAGAGACCACACACGTCGCCGATCGTTATGTCTTTGTATGTTCTTTAGACCTTACGTTTAGACTTTCTTTCTTTTTTTTTTTTTCTTTCGAGTAAAGTTTTTGTACGGATTGAAACAACTTAGAAACTAGGACGCGAATTATACGTTTTATATCCGAATTTATCAGAAAGACACGGAGTTGTTGGGTTCCCATCCTGCGCATCATCTGTTCGAGAACTGAACGGGCAAAATAAGAATACGTCTCCTTCAGCTGTGTCGTAAGCATGTATGCGTGCTTTTATACCGAGCGCATTTCCCGGGACGTACTCACCACCACCCACGCGGTATGTTTTTCGGAAGCAATATGCTCATTTGAGAAAAAAAAAAGTATATTGGTTTGATAGTTGGACCAAGCTGGTCTGGGACCCAGAGTGCTGGTCTAGGAGGACAACGTGCCTTCAGCGTCACTTCCACAGATGGAGTCGTGCGGGATGTTTGCCGAGTTGAGCCTTTACTCACTCAGTCAACACCTCAGGCTGGTTGAAGAAAGGGCAAGTAAACAGGCGAGCTAAATGATGTTACACATACTTAAAAAAAAAAAAAAAAAAAAAATCGGAGACGACGGACGAAGAAGGGGACGAACACAAAACGTGTCCAACATTTTTTGGACGTTTTGCATTTGAAAGTGGTTCCATAGTGGCAACAACAAATGACACCACAGAAGCCGGAGTGTCTCGCCGTCGGATGTCGCGAACCTGGTGGTTTGCCGTATACGAGTATTCTGGCAAAGAACACGAGCAGACGCGAGTGTCGCCGTCGTCGCATTCGTCCCAACTCCTGGCTGCCGAAGCGTCCGTGGACTATCAAGTGGTGGAACAGGCGTCTGCCACGTCGACCACCACCGCTGTGACGCCGCCAGGATCGCGACCGGCGACAGCGCGACACTTCCATGACGTCATAAAACAAAGATCGAGAAACCACTTCTTTTTTTTTTTTTTTGAGAGGGTAAACACATGAGTCTTAGACGCGCTCCAGATGCTGTGAATGTATCAGGTGTCTGCGTGCCCCGAGCGTTAGTGCGCCCTAAGCTTGCTCCCTCCCATATGTCACGTGACGCTCACACGGTATTGGATTGGCTGGTTAATTTTGTATCACAAAAGTGGTGATTTGTGAACAAAGAAGTGCCTTGCAAGTTGATTCTGTTAACGGAGCCATGAAGCGATTTTTCTACTTTCGCTATATACTACTCAGAATCACGCCGTAACGCTAATTACTGAATAAGCTAGCTTTCTAGGCAATGGGAGTCGCCCCCCAAAAATTCGAGAAATATGAGCACCGTTCATCCCCTCAACTCGGAGCCGGAACAAGCGGCCACGTGGCCTAGTGCCTATTCCACGCTGCCAACGTTAATCATAACCACGCGCTAGGGTTTCCAAAGTAAAGACGCGTGCTGAGCTCCAGGCAACGAGGGTTCGGCAATTCTCATCACCGCAGTGATTGGACACGAGCCACTACCCGAGTGTCCGCCGAGGCATTGATTGTTGTATACGAGCCGAAGTCGAGTGCTCATGCAATTCTCGTGTCGAATCCACGAGCCGCGCTTGACTCTCGTGAGGCAGGTGGTTCCATCAAGCTTTGCGAAGGCAAGACTGAAATAAATAATCCCCTTTTATCCTTGCAATTTCACTGGGACAAGGAAGCTCCTGAAGCAGTGGCGGTCTGCGCGAGTATACTTGGGCCAGACTAGGAGCAGTACGCCTCTGCAAAGTCACTAACGTTCCAACCCGATATCGTTTTATGGCCCCTTTAAGTAGTCCGTCAGCGAGAGTAAAACTGCTACTGTGTGGCCACTTGACTTTATCCAATATTCGCCGTCATTTCCCAAAAATAACTGATGCGCCCCTGATTACCCCTGGCGCAATGGATACCATGCAGTGTTGCGAAATGGGCACTCTCATTCCGCGGAATTGAGTTTCCGACAATTCCATTCCTTTCAACTCCTCGGAATGGAGACACTGGGCCCATTCCCACTCCTTTAATGACTGGACTCCACCATTCCAATCTTCTAATTCCCAACGCGAAAAAAAAAAAAAAAGGCCATTGACAGTTACACTGTGTTACTGGAAAAAAAGCCGCATAAAGTTGATGACATCAAACGCGGAGGCCAGTGGAAAAGTATGCAAAAGCCTCCTCAAAGCACTCATTCTACTAAGCGAATGGGTGGTCGCACAAAGCACTTTGTGGCACTTGGTGGCACTGCAGACATCGATTGCGCGATCAAGCGTGAAAAGCTTGCAAGTCGCAACAGACGCTAAACTTAGAACTACCGATTTTCCTCGCACACGGACCGTATCCCTCCTCAGATACACGGTTAGCGTGTTGTTCGTCTGATAAGGTCTTAAAAATGCACAGTTCGTTCGTGGCGCGAGACGCTATCTTGCTCTCTGCTTCGAGTATACTTGGCAGAACAGCATCGCTAGTGCGCTGGTGGAAGCGACGCCGCGTGTATACCTGCCCCAAATCTCGATGCACTGTGGCAAGAACAGAAAACCGATGACAAAGTGCAGTCGGTACACGGCGCCAGCGCGAGCGACTGTAGCACCATATTTTGGAACTTGCCTTAAAACGTAAACTTTTACGTTTGCTGTACAAATTCTTGCGATTTCTAAACATTCATTCCAATTCTTTGTGTTCCATGCGAACACTATAGAAGATCGGCTGGGTTTAAAAGCTGGGAGTCGAACCGGTCATTATTCCGTAGAAATTTTCATTTTGTTGC